CAAAAAATATTTTTTTAATGTTTATATGTAGTTCATCGCCATTCGGTATTTTTATAGTTTATTAATACTAAGCTAGAAGTATTTACTTTTGTGTTTCACTTAGCATATTTTGTTTCTAATAATTGTATTATGCCTACTTGTTTTCCAGAGAAGACTTGTAAGAGTAAAGATGGGACTTCAAAGTTAAACCAGAAATTTAGCCTGTACAACTATACGACACAGAAAGGTATATGTGAACTTGTCAAAGATTATATTAGCAAAATATATATACTCCAGTGACTAACATTGCTATTAACTCACTACATTCTAGAGCTGTTTGGATTTCGGTATTGTTGGCTTAATCTTGGTGGTCATTTCGAATGTTCAAAAAAATTGGTTTCTTATTTATAGAATGTAACACTATGTGGAATGAGTCTTACATTTTCGTTTCGTTGAGTAAAATAGCTTTTTAGAATGATTGGGAAATTAAGTATATACAGGGTGTTCCAAAAGTAACAGGACTGGTGCTGGCATTTTGTCAATTTTGCACCGATTGTCTTCATATTTTCACAAATTGTACTTTGGAGTATTGCAACTAAAATTGTAAAGTTTCAGAAAAAATGATAAAATGTGGGTAGAGTTATGGTTACTATAGTAACATGACATCACAATACCCGGGGCAACTTTTTCATGAAAATGTGATATCTAACATTTTTGTATTACTAAGGAAAGTATCTAATTCACTTATTACAGTACAACATTTTTTGTTTGTTTTATTAGTTGCTTTGTTGTTATAGTGTTGCTATATAACTCATATTCAAGTATGATTTCATTATAATAATATTTATTTAATTTCCTGGAATATCACTAGGTATAACAGTCTGCACAATTCACGACTGAGTTTTCGAGAAGACTCAATTTGAAGCCAGTCATCCACCTTAATAACCCTCCTGCCTGCAAGTCAGCATTAAAGACCACTGCAGCTATAGAAGATCCAGGTCTTGAGGTCTAAGACCATGCACCATACTCTTCTGAACATGTAATATCTATTTTTTAATATTTTTATGCAGAATGGAATGCTAATCAGTGGGGTAAGACCTTTAAACATGAGAATGACCTTCTCCAAGTTGTCCAATCGACCCTGCGATGTCCTCAAATGAGTTCATTCATGTGTTTGAGTTATCTATACAGAGTACTATACAGAGTACTACTCTTGTACTGACCAAAGAGGAGCCTACTTTTCAAAGTAGAAGATACATAGAAATATCAAATGATGTAAAGCAATTGTAATTCCCACCAGTTGTTGCATTTAAACTTTGATATGGAATGTACAAATTGCTTAAAGTCTGTGAAACTTTCTGCCTGAAATGTTGCCCCGGGTATTGTGATGTCAAGTTACCATAGCAACCATAACTCTACCCGAGTTTTATAATTTTTATCGAAACTTTGCAGTTTTAGTGACAATACATGAAAGTACATTATCTAATATTTTGAAGACAATTGGTCCATGTTTAACAAAAAAACAGCACCAGTCCTGTTACTTTTGGAACACCCTAAAGGGTGTCTCAAAAAAATGTACCCAAAAGTATATCAACAGCACAGACAAACCAATCAATATTTTCAGACATTTTTTGCATGGTCATGTAGCCAAAACATGAACATTTTCTCCCCAATACACCATTTTTATTTTAGTCTTGCCTTTTTGATGCTTTAACCCTTTACCTTAACACCACATAATCAATACAACCTCATATTTCGATGACAGTCTGCGTCCTTACTACTACATTGTTCATCACATTTGATATTTCTGTTGGAATGTTTTGATTTCTGTTTGGATGCTGGTCTTAAGTTGTTCTAGGTCTCTTAGCTTGGGTTTAGCATAAAAATGGTCCTTCAAATAGCCTCAGAGAAAAAATAGTCATGCCTTTTTGATGCTTTAACCCTTTTACCTTAACACCACATAATCAATACAACCTCATATTTCAATGAACATACTCAATAGTTGATTTTAAATCATTCCTTCACCATGTTACTTCACCTGAGCATTTATGGGAGAGATAAAGAATGCCCAGATTTGCACTATGTAAAATCCCATGATTAATATGTATGATAACATCTTATATTAATGTTTAATCTGTTGTTTAATCCAGTATCACAAATAATATGGAAACTATAAATTGAAGGATACCATTAGATTTGGAAAATTACAGAAAATGAAAAAAAGGTCAGAATAGGGGCTTTCTGAATTACACAAAACCAGTGCCATAGAAGTGACAGAGAAGGAGTGGAAGGTGGCTTTGCCCTGTTCAAAAAAGTGATGATAAATTTACACCAGACACATCAGATATATTTTGGTGTAAATTAGATAGTGTCATTTCTCATGTCAATATGACTTTCAACGCTGATGAGGGACTTTTAACAATACCCCAACAAGAACAAAATATCATTTCAAAGTCAGTTTGTCCACCCCCACCCCCAAAGTCAGTTCGTCCACCCCAACCCCCAAAGTCAGTTCGTCCACCTCAACCCCCAAAGTCAGTTCGTCCACCCCCGCAGACAAATACCACACAAATTGATGATGATGGCCGTGTACGTGTAGGAGTAGAACCAATACCTGGACCCGATAATGCCCGCAGATCAAAACGAAGCAGAACTGTAATAATACATGATTTGTAATATGATATAACAGTAGGTTGTAAATGGAGGGATGTGGCGCCATATGGCTTTTTCACAACCTCACATGAGTCAACCTCATTTTCATTCTGATAATTTTTTGATCAAATTTATTATACTGCACATTGTGATTTTATATATGATATCTTATGTTAGACTGGTATATAACAGTAGGTTGTAAATGGAGGGATGTGGTGCCATATGGCCTTTTCACAACCTCACATGAGTCAACCTCATTTTCATTCTGATGATTATTTGATCAAATTTATTATGAGGCACGTTGTAATTTTATATATGATATCTTATGTTAGACTGGTATATAACAGTAGGTTGTAAATGGAGGGATGTGGTGCCATATGGCCTTTTCACAACCTCACATGAGTCAACCTCATTTTCATTCTGATGATTTTTTGATCAAATTTATTATACTTCACATTGTGATTTTATATATGATATCTTATGTTAGACTGGTATATAACAGTAGGTTGTAAATGGAGGGATGAGGCGCCATATGGCTTTTTCACAACCTCACATGGGTCAACCTCATTTTCATTCTGATAATATTTTGATCAAATTTATTATACTGCACATTGTGATTTTATATATGATATCTTATGTTAGACTGGTATATAACAGTAGGTTGTAAATGGAGGGATGTGGCGCCATATGGCTTTTTCACAACCTCACATGAGTCAACCTCATTTTCATTCTGATAATATTTTGATCAAATTTATTATACTGCACATTGTGATTTTATATATGATATCTTATGTTAGACTGGTATATAACAGTAGGTTGTAAATGGAGGGATGTGGCGCCATATGGCTTTTTCACAACCTCACATGAGTCAACCTCATTTTCATTCTGATAATATTTTGATCAAATTTATTATACTGCACATTGTGATTTTATATATGATATCTTGTTAGACTGGTATATAACAGTAGGTTGTAAATGGAGGGATGTGGCGCCATATGGCCTTTTCGCAACTTCACACGAGTCAACCTCATTTTCATTCTGATGATTATTTGATCAAATTTATTATAAGGCACATTGTAATTTTATGGCTTTTTCACAACTTCACCTGAGTCAACCTCATTTTCATTCTGATCATTTTTTGATCAAATTTATTATAAGGCACATTGTAATTTTATGTATAATATATTATGTTAGACTGGTATATAACAGTAGGTTGTAAATGGAGGGATATGGCGCCATATGGCTTTTTCACAACCTCACCTGAGTCAACCTCATTTTTTTACCATTTCAAATTTATTATTTATTTATCTAACATGTATATTTATGTTGAGGAAACATGAAATTAATGTAAATTGCTTTAATTTGACAGATTGATCAAAACCGCCAAATTAAACCTCCGCCAATTTTTTGAAAAAAATCCCCTTGACCTTAAGTCTCATTGAAGCCTATTTTGATTGCAACCCCATTTTTACTACATTTAAGCTCATAGTACATGAAGGTAAAAAAACCTTTCTCACCCAAGAGTAATCTGGCCATGTGACTTCCTAGCTAACCATTTTATATCAATATTTTACTGATGTATCAATCCATCAAATTAAATAGTAGTCAATATTTCAAAGTTTGCCCAATTTGCCAAATTAAAGCAGTACAGTAAGTCTAGTCAACTATCTAAGGTTGAATCTCATTTTTATTATCTAGTATCATGCATTCTAAGACTGATGTATTGACTAGAAATTGGGCCAAAGATAAGAGTAAGATGTTAAAAATAAAATATATTTAACTGAATCGGAACATTTTATGTGATGTATCGCTATGAGTAAAAGTGTGAGTCATGTTATTTTGGTTATTTTGTTGACCCCAACTACAGTATGGCATTTGTCCTTGATTTGAGGTATGGCGATTGGTCCTGTATTTGCACATTTGTATGACACTGATCCTATATTTCATTTACTTTGAATTAAGGTATGGCATTGGTCCCATATTTGGACATTTGGTATGGCATTGGCCCTACATTTTGACATTCGGTATGGCATTGGTCCCATAATTGGACATTTGGTATGGCATTGGTCCTATATTTGGACATTTGGTATGGCATTGGTACTATATTTGGACATTTGGTAATGGCCTTTGGGCGTTATTTTGGTTGGTATGGGAACATATTGAAATTTGACAGATTGGTATGGGAACATATTGAAATTTGAGGCTTCAGCCTAGGACCCCGTCGAGTTTTATATACAGTGAACCCCCCAGGGCCTGTCTTACACTCAAATTGAAGAAATATTAAAGTAATCACTATTAATATTGTTTTTTTCTAATTCATGCCTCAGAAAATTTAAAATGACTACCTGAAGCTGAGGTTTGCTATAAATTAAACATTTCTTCAAAGTATGGTTACATTTTTCAGGTGCTCCAATACTGCAGAGAATGAGACTGATGAAGATGAAGATAACTATAGTACATATCATATGTACCCTTATTTACAATATTTTGGATTTTATATTCGTCTATAAACCCAGTGAAAAACCATGTGCAAGTCCTTGGCCAAGGTACTCTAGTAAAAAACCAGCTTGGTCCCAGAAATACCTTCTTGGACCAAGCTGCGAGCTTTGTAACACCCAAGACTGGTTTGAAAATGTGAGCTCTAGAAAAGTATTCACTGTTGGAAGTTCAACATGCAATGATGAATTCAAAGTCATGAACGAATGATGAACGCAAAGAAAGCGATTAAAATGTAGGTTAGCTCAATCAAACATAGAAATGAGACAAAACTAAATAGGCATAAGGTGACAAACATGTCCCTTTAGAAGGAGAATGCTTTATTGAAAACAGAGAGAGAATGTTGGTGGATATGTTGGCAGATTCAGATACATATCATTTACATATGGGAATGTATGAACCAATCAGAAAATAATAAGATTTTTGTAAATATTAATGAATCTGGCATATTTTCTCACAGAATGTTAATTTACTAATTATACATACACAGTACATAAATGTCAACATGTTACTTTTAATATTGAGCGTTCTATGGTAACCTTAGCAACCCAAGTCGAGGGTACAAGGAGCAATCAAAAAGAAAGGAAATGGTGTGATGTTTTCTTTCTTAATGGTTTTGTACTTTGGGAATACCACCATATTTTGTTACATTCAATGCATTGTTTTATGACTTATTTTCTCAGATGTTGATTTTATGTGTTCTATGAATCTGGTATCATGTTCAAAACATTCCAGTGTATGAATACAGAAAGGTGCATCATCACCAATGTGCAAAAGTCAATGTTTTTGCCATAAATCGGGCGACAATGGTCCACACGACCTGTAATAAATAGGTATACTAATGACATTGCTCACTTTTAAAGTTTGTTTCCATGCGTTATACAAAAAAATAATAGAAATAAATTAATACCGGATGGAGGGGGGATCGGATGGAATATAACAAGTGTGCCAGTGAGTGGGCTAAAAAGATTAGATCAGTATTCATAGAGTACGTCAAGCGCTACGTCAAATGCATGAAGCTCAAGGGAGAAGTCAAGGGTTTGAAAATGTGGACTTATCGAGAAGTTTGCACCAAAAAGGTAATACATTTTAATGTTGATCTAATTATTTTCCCATTTTGTGAACGTGTTATTTTCTTAACTTTTGAATTTATATTACACATACCTGATACATTAAATTCAGATACACTGGTTTACTCAAACGGATTAGGCCCAATTATTATTACTATTTGTTCCAGGCAGATTATAATGCCAGTTTGCAGGCGCAATAGATGTACCCTACAACCTATTATCAAACACTACGTTGACAAAAATTCAAAAATATTCAGCAATAGTTGGAAGGCTTACGCAAATTTGAATGAAGAAGGCTACGACCATTTCACAGTAATAAATAAAAATATGAATTTGGATATTTCAATTTTCAATATATCTTTTAATTTTCATGCGGCATTTAATAATTATCTCAATTGTGCTATTAGGTTATATCAGTTATTTTATTTTTTAATCTAAAAAAGCTTAAACACGCAAAATATCAGCACAACACCATTTATTAGATTTTGTTTCAGATACCAAACACCATATAATTTGTATTTGTGGCAGAATAAATTTTATTTTCCTTGCTCTGTAGGTTGTGCACAAGACAAACTTTAAAAATGGTGTATAAAAATGAGAGTACTGGCGAGACTATAGAAGTACATAGAAATATAATGGAAGGAAGGTGGAAGCACGTCAAGGATCACTTCAGGAAGATTAATGGTACTACTCTGTCTAATTTCTAATTTCAAAGTGAAGATTAAATTGTTGCCCCATGGGAATTATTTCATAAAACCACAGTTTTCCATTTCGTACACACTTAAACAAAGTTAAAAAAAATCAATTACCATTGGAAACCATATAAACTATGGCATATAAAAAGTAGAAAAACAAATAGAGTTGTAATGTCCAAATGGCATTAAACAGTTGCATCGTTCCCAGTTCATTTTTGAGTTAAAATAGTTTGAAAGTTTTTACTGTTTTACCATTATATGTTGGCTGGAGGGAAGTGCAGAAAGTTTAGTTGGAGTTTCCCATGCTTGGGTGACTTGGCTGGGTCCCTAAGGATAAGCTGCACAGATATAGCTGTCCTGTACACGGACTATCAAGTCCCTATTGGGCAGAGTCCAAGCTGACCTTTTTAAAGACATTCCCGGGAACAGACCTATCTCATCCATCTATCCTCTCCTCTGCAAGATCACTCCACTTAATCAAAGCCTTCTCAAACTGTCCCCTGAATAAACAATGAATTGGGCATTGGACTTTGTATTGGATTTATCTCTTAAGAAAGTTGTGCCACACCTTCCTAAGCAGCAGGGAACTAAAGGCCAAGATATAATAACATTGACAGTGACACTTCAATTTGTGCTTTGCTGAGTAGTTTCACCAGTCTTACAGTGCCTGAATTTCCAAAGCCTTCTACACATGGGTCTTCATCATCTAAAGCAACATCTTCCAGGTATTGAAGTGATACCACCCAAGCACTTTCATCCAAATCACTATCGGCCCAGGTATGGACAAACCTGATGTTACTCATAGAAAGTAAAATCATCTATAAAACAGGCTTCAGATTTGCTAACTAAAGACATGTGTTTGAGTAGCAATTATGCTTGATAATTCACCCTTTATAGGTGTTCAAAATAAGAGTTCTTATATTCATCCTGTTATTCTATAGTATACAAATAGTGACTGCCATTGAGGGCAATAGTGTAAATTATTTCCCCGAGGGAATATCCTCTACAATGTACTATTCCCGAAGCCGCAGGCTGAGGGAATAGTATATTGTAGAGGATATTCCCAAGGGGAAATCATTTACACTATTGCTCGAAATTAGGCAGTCACTATTTGTTTTATTATATACCCTATACTGACTCTTGTCCCGTTTCCTCTGCGAAGGCCAAAAAGGCTTAGAAAGCCCCCTCCCCGGGTCCATTGTTAGCATTATAAGCTGTGACGTCATCAGATGCTCAACAGAAATTATTGCCTCTGAGACTCTTACTTGACAAATTCAATCGCGTTTAACACGCGGAATAGATTATCATAACACTTGAAATTACACAGACGTATTGAGCTTAGGGAACTTTATACACGTTGCTTATATTGTATCGTTCACGCACGTCTGTCATGGTGAACGGAGTTGATTTGTGTTTGTGCTCATCCTCCATTTTTCTGTTTTTCGTCTGCGCAGTGATGATGAGCAGACGTTTCCAAGGGTAATAGAGCTTGCAATTGTGACGTCAGCGGGCAATAGTTCAAATGTATATTCCCGCTGACGTCACATTTGAGGGAATATAACTTTCCGAGGGAAATAGTAAATCTATTTCGGAACACGTGACTAGGTATTGACCAATCAGGATTAGTGTTACATATTGGGTATATAATAAATGTAACTAAATCATGATTGACTTATTCTTTTGTGTAGGTTTTGTATTACTTGAGTATTAATTGAATGTTCCTGACTATTAGCATTTTTTACAGTACACTTGATGATGCATTAAATGACGAGAAATATCCAGAAAATAGTCAAATAGAAAGGTAAAGAACATTAGGGTACAACAAAATGACACCAAATTACTAGTAATAAAACAATTAAAAATAATATCTTCAACATGAAAAAAAAAGAAAAACGTGCCATGAAATGAAATAGTGAACTAAATGAATAATTCTGTGTGGCTTTAATTGCTGTATCGAGATTTATAATACAAAAAAACATTGAATAATTTTAAAACAAATGCTTTTGATGCTAAGTGAGGTCAAGCAAGGACGCGGCAGAACACCATTTTGCTCAAATCACTGAAGACCAAACACTTGTATATTGCTGATACAGATATCGATACAAGTGAAGATTTCAATCTGCCAATGAATACTGAAAATGAGTTGGCTCTGGTAGAAGATACACTCCAAGACAAAGGAAAATCAAAGAGATTGGTATGTTGATGATATTACATTACAGACATTACAGTACCACACTGATAACACAACAACAACAACAACCTAAACCTTAACATGAGCTCTGCCAAAGACCTATCAATAGGCCAAATGATTGCCAACGCTAATGACACACAGGCGTCTATCTGCAGTGGAAAATTCAACTCACATAACTCTATGGAGATGAATGATAGCAGGGACACTATTCCCGACTCAGAAGTACCAGCAAACAGCGCTGTCTTCAACAAACAAGCCTCAAAACAAGCAACAACCAGCAGCCCTAAAGGCAAATACCATACCAAGTCGGCCTCTACCTTCACAATAAACAACCCTTCCGAACTTCGGAACACACACCCGTGTATACACTAACATTCCCCCTTCCCCCTCCCCGTTCCCCAAGCCGCTGATGAAGAACACATCATGGACTACCACCCATGAGTTCAAAACATCTTGTGCTCTTATTATGACACACATATAGGAGAGATGGTCCACTACAGGACCGGGATGTCCGGCCGCCCTCACAAAAATAACATAAAACAAAACAATAATTTTTCTAGGGTAAGATACGAACAATATCTTACGCCATTTTTACTGACATATACTATTCTTGTCACATATTAGACATGCAATAGTTTAGGGAAACTTAGGCGACTAGATTATGTCTCCCAGGCCCCCACACAGAGACCTCTCACCACTTGTTCACAGACTGCATGAACAGTGCGTGTACATAACTGGTGATGTCTCAAGACATTTTCTAAGTCATCACCCCAAGAATCTGAACCATATGCTATTCAACAGCATGATAGTTTGAAAAATTATAGAATTCTCCCATTTAAAGTGATCGAGGACAATTTTGATTTGACTGTCATTCCTAATTACATCACAATGCTCAACCAGCCCATACAGCACCATTGGTGGCTACACATTGCCCTTGAGAAAGGGATAACTGCCCCTCATTTACCGAGTGACAGGCTCACACGAAATATACTTGATGTTCCAAATTGTGAGTTCATCCCCTCAGTAGCAGAATGCCAAGAACTGGAGCATAATATGGCATTCCATGTTGCACAAGTTCTCACAAAAAGGATCCCTTTTTTCAAGCAATTCGCTGAACAAATACCCAATCATATCATTCATCAGTATGAATGTGAAAGTAGTCAACCATCAAATTTTCTCTGACCTTCTGAAGTGAAAACACAGAAGATGGAATAATCTGCATACTGCAAAATATTCATCAGAACTTTGTCCAAGCTGTTAATGGGTCAGTTGTAACAAAGATGGTTGGGGGAGGTGATGTTAGAACATGTGAGATGGCTTCAGCTGCCAAGGCACCAATGAAGAATGCAAGAAATGAAACCGAGCGTTTGGATGGATTGGTGTCTTGGGTGTACTTCTCTCCATGCAAGGCTGTTACAACAACTATAAGATTTTCAAAATGATAACAAGGCCATGTGCTTGGAATTTATCGACCATGTTGAAAACATTCTAAATAAATAAGTATAACCTTTCTGTCAATGATGATGCTCTGTTAATGAAATAAAACTAACCACCATTTAAATAAGGAACTTAAAGTGATTGTGTTAGTCGATTGAATGACTTTATTACCTTAAGCATTTATTTAAATATAAAGAAAAGCTTTGGCATGGAGTCCTACCTATAATAATGTTTGATTTTCACGATTGTAAATTAAAGTTTCTGGCTAGAGTACGTAATTTTAAGTTGCAAAATGAAACCTGTCAGTGGGAAAATACTGAGAGTAGCTCAGATATATGTAACTTATGTAATCTTTCGCAATCTGAAGATATGATCCAAAGACTCTTCATTTGTCCTAAATTTTGAAGTGAATGAATTGAGTTCATAAGGCGTTTAAATAATTTTGATGAATCCCTATGTTCTCCATATTTATCTTTGCCCACTGAGCCAACAAAGAATAGACCAAGGCCAGTGTATGCTGATGAGCAGGTGTGGAGCTGGCTGAAAAGCCAATGCCTGCAAATAATGAAGGATTACGCACTCTTGTCTGCACAAGATGCATCATTGGGAAATTTCCAAGAGGGAGAAGCAAGACGTGATTGCGTAAATTCAAGAGCGAGGAACAAGGTTTTGAGTGTGCAACATGCAGTCAAAAATTTAAAACCAAAGGTTGGCTACAACTGCACCTAGAAAAAGTGCATAATTTTGAATTCATTGGAAACCCAGGGAATGTTGAAGACACCAATGATAAACTGTTCGATTACGGCTCTATATTTATCAAATTGGTGCTTCTTCTTTGCGACACAGAAGATGCTTATTCATTGAATGATGGCAACTGGGTACTCAGGAATGGAAAATTTGAAATGATTCTGGATAACTTTAACAACACAAAGTATAGACAATTGCTGGAATTATACCATGTGTTTTAGAAAGGCGCCTAAGGTTTTAGCCCGGTTTGAAAACTAGGTGTAATCATGATTGTGGATTTACAAAAGCGCTTTTCAAAAACTCCTTAAACCCTCGCCACTAAAATACGCCTTAAATCATTAGGCGCTTTTGGAGTGTAATGTAATACTGATCGGTTTTTGTAATCTGCCTTCCAAGGTTTTTTACCATTTGCCCAGAACAAATTAAGATGGACTTTGAATGCTACACATTTGGGCCACCGCAAAAATAAGGAAATGATGGATGGGACCCAAAAATTCAATAGGTCGTCTATATCGTAAAAATTCAAAGTACGTTTACATCACTGGCAAAAGTCTCTTTACACTTTCTCTTACGTGCTAAAAGAAAACATCTATTGTAGATATACACATCTGCTGGATATTCTCTCTATCTACGTTGTTAGAAGTGCACGGAAGGCACTTTAGAAATAACAGGTGTAATTTCAAAATAAAAGTCCCAAGGCACTTTTATGGTATTTGTTAGTAAGATCATAAAAATAAAGGACTTATCATTATTAGTTTGCATACATCTACAAGAATTAGTGGAGGGAAACCCAGAGAGAGTTTTTATTAAAAAATGACTTACTAACTTTGTTGGACTTTTCCCTGGCTAGTTTCCAAATTCCACATGGCTTTGTGATGTTTTAATGATTGTTAGCATATTCCTTTCATCTTCACATCTTCTTTTATCGTGATGACGTGAAGCTGTGATATTGGTCAACTCACCAGAAATTAATACATGTAATATCATTTGAGGCATTTTAAAAGAATTGAAACCATCGTTGAATAATGCTCCCCCATCTCACATCCTCTTTTTATGAGAATATGACAGCTCACTTTAAATTTTAATTTACAACCCTATTGCTTGGACATATTGATTTGTGCCATTGCAGTGAAAACTATGAGTAAAAACAGTAATATTGACCCACTCCCTAATGCTCATAATAATTATTTAACAGAATATCAATCAAACCTTTAAAAATGTGATTGTTTTTGTTCTTTACAGCGAACATTGGTAAGAAGGACAGATTGACAAGGAAGGAGTTCCCAAGTGCCAAAAGATAAATTAACAAAGAAAGTGATGGATTTTCCTGGGAAGTACACATCCATAGACATAATGTTACAAATAACAATGTGTTGAATACACTCCCCAAATATTTGGATAAAAAGGACATGCAACACAGTTTTATAGTAAAGTTGCCTCAGCAACAGTGTGAATTGACAATCATGAGACCATGTTCATACCTCTAATTGAAGACAAGACTGGTATTCTCCTAAACAAAATGGAGCCATAGCAGCCTCAACTGTAGAAAAAGGTTACCAAGAAACCTTCAAGCAGTCTGTTAACAATTCTACTATTAGGACCACAGGATGTCACATCCTTACATCTCTGTACCACAACTGCCCTGTGTTCTGTGTTCAATATTGTGACTTTCCGAGGGATTCATTAAATAGACTTAACAAAAGAGATGCAACAAAAAGGATACCTTCAAATTCCAGGGCACTTTTTAAGCTCATTGAACTTAAATGAGACAGTTGAAAGATTGAAAAAAAACGTCAAGGAAAGAGCAACCTACAATAGAGGTCTCAGCTTTGAAAAAAACTCAATGCCAAAATAATACAGTTGCATTGTGAACTGAAAGACATTGTGAATAAATCCAAGAAACAAACATAATCTGGTTTTCCCAAAGGAAGTGCAATACATTTTCTGGATGAACAGCAGCAAAAATATGCAAATTTGAAGGATGCGCTCAATGAAATGGCATCCCAAAATCTTTAAGTATTGCATGCAGCATAGAAATATGTCCAATGCAGCCTATGCATTTTACGTCTAACAAAATACATAAATCTGCCAAGTCAACAGACTTTAGACGACTACACTCACTACTCATCTGGTAGGATATCATGAAAATAATGTTTGCCTCCTCTTTGATTAGATGAAGATCAAAAGTGAGCTAGTGTACTCAAGATCTAGTGGCAAAATCATAGGGTGTGCTGATATGGGTAGGGGCAAACGAAGCCTTAAACAATTTGCCAGTGCCCTAAGGACAATGTGATCGAACCACCTCTCGCAACACACATACTTCTATACATGGTGCAGGGGTTGTCTAGTAACTTTAAGTTACCTCTTAAGTCACACTTCAAAAGACTAACCAAATATAAATTCAAGGTTTTGGGGCAATTTCCTGCCATAGCAATGGTACACGGTTGCTCTGGACAAAGATGCTTAAATCTCATGTGATGCCATCATATTGACATCATATCCAACATGCCATAGATAAAGAAACTTAAAGAAATAAGTTCTAAGTGTAATCTCTTTCTATTAGTCTTTTGAAGTTCTTTTTAGTGATTAATGTTTTCATTTATTGCGATAAGTAGTCTACAGTAAGTTGAAATTACTGGAGTTTGTATAATTTAAATTGTTGTAAAATCTTCGATAATAATTTTTTTTATTTCAGCTAAACCAATGGAAGTGTAATCTCAATCACAAATTTTTGCTATTCAATGATTAAGTTTTGATTGTAACTAACTGATTCTTTAATCAAAATAGCGCATTCATGAGTTAGAAGCATTTTCAGTTGATTACTAAATTGACTTGTTATGTTTATTGCTGCTTAATAAAAAAATATTTCAGGTACAGGATCCAGTGTTAACCAGGACTTCTTCTGAGCAATGCTGGACAAAAGTGGGGCCTAGAAATCGGGTCATCATATGCAGCTGTGTCTTATGGCGGCTAGACATATATCCTTACCCGTTTGGAACTTAAATTATTATTATCACCTTACTTTCAATGTTTTTCAATAAAATCATATTATTTTGGAGACCACTCAAATTGTCCCATCTTGAATACCACCACAAAATTCTGCCTGGGACTTTCAGATTTAAGCTAACTGTCTATTATGTGTACTGATCAGGTTTCATACCAAGAAAATGTGTTTGTTTCTCTCTTTGTATTAAAACAATCATGTATGTTTTCACTTATTTTTCTTAAAATATGAGATTTTTGGTTTGAAATAAATGTTACTTATTTATGACTCAGTATCACATGCAGAAAATAAAAAAAGCTCAAGTAAAAATAATAATTCAAAAGTGGTGATATTTTTCACTTTTTAGAATTGCTTTCCATTTATTTCCACTCCAAAAATTACATGGTTGGATTTAAGAGATAATTTTCTTTACATTGATGCTAATTTCATATCTTAATAATTTTTATACAGCTCATCTTTAAAGATAATGTTATTATCTATTCATTGATAGAGGGAATATTTTCAATATCAATCTATTTTTTATCCACTGCACTACTGACAAAGAGGTGAATGTCCATCCTATTAGAAACAACATAAAATATTCAGTTCTTCAGTGTGACATTTTTGGCGAAGAGCTAGATGAAGGCGTATTTGAATGGCTTGTTGAAAAACTTTGTCAGAAAGGAGGCAATACGCCCCGAACATTGGTATTTTTCAGACAAATCCATCACTAAACTGTTTTGTATGACTATTTGTGTCAGGAGTCAGGATGCCATTCAAATATTACAATGTACCATTTGAGTACAGAGGAAAGCGTCAAAGCAAATGTTCTAGATTCTTTTATGAAATTAGAAAGCTGTTCGAGTGGCATTGTGCTTGTTTTGTTTTTGGTGTTATACAAGTAACTAAGATAGATTTTGTAGGTGTAGTAAAAGACATTTTAAATCCATAGCTATCATTATGATGT